GCCCTATGTATGTTTCCTGGTAAAATACATGGGAAAATCCTCTTGGAGGAAAATTCCACTTAGGGTTAGGGTTACGTCACCATGAACTCCTAGAGCAAAATGGACATCGCCAACAAACTCAGAGTGCTTGGGTATGGTTAGGCAGGCACTGACTTTTCTAGGCTGCCCTATCTATGTTTCCTGGTACAATACATGGGAAAATCCCATTGGAGGAAAATTCCAGTTAGGGTTAGGGTTACGTCTCCATGAACTCCTAGAGGAAAATGGACATCGCCAACAACCTCGGAGTGCTTGGGTATGGTTAGGATAGCATTGACCTTTCTAGGCTGCCCTATCTATGTTTCCTGGTAAAAAAGTGGGAAAATCCCATTGGAGGAAAATTCCACTTAGGGTTAGGGTTAGTCACCGTGAACTCCTAGAGCAAAATGGACATCGCCAACAACCTCGGAGTGCTTGGGTATGGTTAGGAGGGCACTGACTTTTCTAGGCTGCCCTTTCTATGTTTCCTGGTAAAATACATGGGAAAATCCCATTGGAGGAAAATTCCACTTAGGGTTAGGGTTAGTCACCGTGAACTCCTAGAGCAAAATGGACATCGCCAACAAACTCGGAGTGCCTTCGGTATGGTTAGGAGGGCACTGACCTTTCTAGGCTGCCCTTTCTATGTTTCCTGGTAAAATACATGTGAAAATCCCATTGCAGGAAAATTCCAGTTAGGGTTAGGGTTACGTCACCGCTAACTCCTAGAGCAAAATGGACATCGCCAACAAATTAGGAGTGCTTGGGTATGGTTAGGAGGGCACTGACCTTTCTAGGCTGCCCTTTCTATGTTTCCTGGTAAAATACATGGGAAAATCCCATTGCAGGAAAATTCCAGTTAGGGTTAGGGTTACGTCACCGCTAACTCCTAGAGCAAAATGATCATCGCCAACAAACTCGGAGTGCTTGGGTATGGTTAGGACGGCACTGACTTTTCTAGGCTGCCCTATGTATGTTTCCTAGTGAAATTCATGGGAAAATCCCATTGGAGGAAAATTCTGTCAGAATACAGCTGGAAGGGACCTCGGAGGTCTTCTAGTCCAGCCGCCTGCTGAAGCAGGAAACCCTAAGTGGAATTTTCCTCCAATGGGCCCTATTAATAAGGTGTTAATACCGTTAATAAAGATAGAGAATAACGTCGTTTTAAAATGCTGTTAAAAAGGTTTATTTCTTTTGTTGTTAATTGCGAAGTCGTGTCCGACCCATCGCGACCCCATGGACAACGTTCCTCCAGGTCTTCCTGTCCTCTACCATCTTCTGGAGTCCATTTAAGTTCACACCTACTGCTTCAGTGACTCCATCCAGCCATCTCATTCTCTGTCGTCCCCTTCTTCTATTGCCCTCAATCTTTCCCAGCATTAGGCCCTTCTCCAGTGAGTCCTTCCTTCTCATTAGGTGGCCAAAGTATTTGAGTTTCAACTTCAGGATCTGGCCTTCTAAAGAGCAGTCGGGGTTGATCTCTTCTAGGACTGACCGGTTTGAACGCCTTGCAGTCCAAGGGACTCGCAGGAGTCTTCTCCAGCACCATAGTTCAAAGGCCTCCATTCTTTGGCGCTCAGCCTTCCTTATGGTCCAACTTTCACAGCCATACATTGCAACTGGGCAAACCATGGCCTGGACTATACGCACTTTTGTTGGCAGGGTGATGTCTCTGCTTTTTAGTACGCTGTCTAGATTTGCCATAGCTTTCCTTCCCAGGAGCAAGCGTCTTTTAATTTCTTGGCTGCAGTCCCCATCTGAGGTGATCTTGGAGCCCAGAAAAATAAAATCTGTCACCACCTCCATTTCTTCCCCATCTATTTGCCAGGAATTGAGTGGGCCGGATGCCATGATTTTGGTTTTCTTAATGTTGAGTTTCAAGCCAACGTTTGCACTCTCCTTCTTCACCCGCATCAAGAGGCTCCTTAGTTCCTCTTCACTTTCTGCCCTTAGAGTGGTATCATCTGCATATCTTAGGTTGTTGATATTTCTCCCGGCAATCTTAATTCCAACTTTTGTTTCATCTAGCCCTGGCTTTCTCACGATGTCCTCTGCATATAAGTTAAATAGGCAGGGCGACAGTATACAGCCTTGCCGGACTCCTTTTCCAATTTTGAACCCATCCGTGGTTCCGTGTCCAGTTCTCACTGTTGCTTCTTGACCCGCATATAGGTTTCTCAAGAGACAAATAAGATGGTCTGGTATTCCCATGTCTTTAAGAACTTGCCACAATTTGTTGTGATCCACACAATGAAAGGCTTTAGCGTAGTCAATGAAGCAGAAGTAGATGTTTTTCTGGAACTCCCTAGCTTTCTCCATGATCCAGTCGTATCGCACTTCCCTGTGTTACACCTTAAGAGGTTGCTCCTAAAAGTGCACCCGGCTCGCCCCCTTCAAGCAAACCCCGATGTTTTTATTCAAGCATAGTTTTGTTTGTCCTGCCCTTCTTTTTCTTTAAGGAGATCGTACGTATGTAGGTTTGTATTTAGGTTTGGTGTTTCTAAACTATATTTCTTAGAGATACCTATGTATTCATATAAGCGCAATATCAAATATCTATTTGAAATATTGTGTATTTTTATTACGAAACGATCAATCTAAAAATAAATGTAGTTTATTTTGAAAAAGTATATAACCTATCGTTCCCTTATAGGTTTATCATTTAAAGGATGGATAAAAGGGATGAGACGTGAGAAGTTGCAACTAATGGCATTTATTAATTTGTTCGCCGTCCATCTAACTTTGTGGACCTTCGTCTATTAATAAGGTGTTAATACCGTTAATAAAGATAGAGAATACGGTCATTTTAAAATGCCATTAAAAAGGTTTATTTCTTTGGGTGGCCGCAATACCCATTTTTGACCCCGGAAGGGCACAGTTTTCTGTCCCCTAGCTTTGGCTTGGAGTCCATCCTAGGCCTTTTTAATGGCCTCCATCCTATAGCTAAGGCAGGGGTAGGCAACCTTGGCTCTTTGATGACTGGTGGACTTCAACTCCCAGAATTCCTGAGCCAGCCCTGCTAAGGGACGGAAAACTGGTCAAATCAGATACTGCGGCCAGAAAAATAAATAAACCTCTTTAAGATGATTATTCTTGATTATTAACACTTATTAATATGAATAAGCCACGATAGGCCTTAACTCGGTTTAAGATTGGAACCAGGATTTCTTCTGCGCCCGTGTCGCACCGACCGGGCCCCCCGTCGCCACGTTAATATTAATCATAAGGCGTTAAGAATAAAAATAGAGAAGAATAAGCTTCAAATGCTATTCAAAAGCATTTATTTCTTTGGGCGGCAGCAGTACCCGTTTTTGACCACAGGAGGGCAGTGTTTCCCGTCCCATAGCATTACCAGGGAAGCCGTCGTAGGCCACTTGCCCAGGATCGGGACACCGAGAAGCTAAGCCCCAAAGCGCAGAGCGTCAGCCAAAGGGTCGCCACTCTATGCTCCTCCGAAAGGGACGGGCCGCTTCCCTCGGCCTTCTGCGCATGTCGGCCGGCTGGTTCTTCACGAGTAATCTGCGAGAGGCCCTCTCTGGACGGCGGGCTTCCTGCCCGTCGGTATCGGCCGTCCCCCAGGTGCTGCGGTAAAAGGACCTTTCGATCATGTCCGACTTCCGTCCCTTCGTTCGTAATCTTTCCCCCTACTTCCTTTCGGGTAGACCTCCTCAGTATGTCCGACTTCCTGTCCGCGCAAATTCGCCGTCCTCCGGGGTCTTTGAATTGCGACCTTCCCAATATGGCCGACTTCCGGTCCGTTCTTCTTAATCGTCCTTCCACTTCCTTTTTTTCGGGGACCTTCTGGGCAGGGCGGACTCCACGTCCGATCAACGAGGTAAGCCTTGAAAAACCCCATTCAAAAGGCTTATTTCCCTTGACGGCCGCAATACCCGTCCCATAGCATTTACCATCGAGGCCACCTTAGGCCTTTTCCACGGCCTCAATGCCGCTATCGCTAAGGGAGGGAAAACAGTGCCCTCCCGTGGCCAAGCCGGGTATAGCAACCACCGAAAGAAATAAACCTTCGAAAATGGCAAAAGGGCCTCTCGTCGCCCTATTAATATTAACAAGAGGTTACTAATAAAGACGGGGGAAAAATAAATAGCCTTAAAATCCCATTTAAAAGCTTTATTTTTTTCGGCGACGGCAGTACCCGTTTTTGACCACAGGAGGGCACAGTTTTCCGTCCCGTAGCATGACCACCGAAAACGAAGTTCCCAGTACGGCCGAGTTCCTGTCCGTCCGCCGAATTCGTCCCCAGTTTCCTGTCCGTTCGCAGCACGGTTCCCTGCTTTTTCCCGTGCGCTTTTCTGCACTACGTGGACGGAGCGCACGTCTACCGGCGAGGCCTCGGGAAGGAAAAAAGGAAGCCTGCTACTGCCTCAGGTGAGCCGAGCCATCCCCGCATTTCCTGATTCCAGAAAGATACCGGCTTTCTCTGTTACCTAGTTAGCGGGGGATCCCCACCTTCCCCCTCCTCCGCCTCCCCCGCCTCCTTCCCGGCCACTCGTTTGGTCCTCTCCCCTAAGATGTCCGCCTGGCCGTTCCTGGCCTTTCGCCGCCGGTGTCTGTAAAAATGCGACCGAGAACCGGTGGCGGCGGCGGTCTCTTTGCGCTCTTTCCCTTTCAGCTATAGGGGCTAAATTGGGAACGTAGAGACGAAGTTAGCTTGTTTTAACAACACACTTCGGGGTGGTTTACGCGAGCTCAGCCGCGGCTTCTTTTTAGCTCCTTTTTAGAGGCGGGGCCGGCGGGACACGCTCCAGGCTTTTGGCCTCCGGGTCTGGAAGGGGGTTCCGACCCGTCTCGGGGGTCCCTCGAAGGCTGCCAAGCAAGGCAGCCGTTGAATGGTGTTTTCCGAGCTCCCGAGTCCCGGATGTAGAAGAACCAGTCGTATCGCGCTTCCCTGTGTTACATCTTAAAGAGGTTGCTCCTCCAAAAAGTGCACCCCGCTCGCCCCCTTCAAGCAAATCCAGGTATTTTTATTCAAGAATAGTTTTGTTTGTCCTGCCCTGCTATTTCTTTAAGGAGATCGTACGTATGTAGGTTTGTATTTAGGTTTGATGTTTCTAAACTATATTTCTTAGAGATCCCTCTGTATTAATATAGGCGCAATATCACATCTCTATTTGAAATTGTGTGCATTTTTATTAAGAAACGATCAATATAAAAATAAATGCAGTTTATTTTGAAAATGTGTATAACCTATCGTTCCCTTCTAGGTTTATCATTTAAAGGATGGATAAAAGGGATGAGACGTGAGAAGTCGCAACTAATGGCTTTTATTATTTTGTTCGCCGTCCATCTAACTTTGTAGACCTTCGTCCAAAACAAGTCAGGGTTAGGAAGGGTAGGAGATTTCTTCCTTTCCTCTCCAGGTTGCCGTAAACAGCCCACCCACCGCCCAGAGGTAAGAGAAAGGTAAAGCAGGTCTCTCTGGGGGACGCAGGAGACCCGGGTCTTTGCAGAGTCCGGCTTGCAATTTTGCTAACTTCCCCCAGTCACAGCTGCATCGACTGATGTAGCGGCCAGGAGGAAGGGTGGGGAGGAAGGGTGGGGACGCCTGCCGGATGAAAGCTTCAGCCTTTTTGGAAAAGGCAGTGGAGAAAGGAGGTCACGCTCCCTCTGCCAAATGGGTGACCCCCCCCCTTTCTGTGGCTGTTAAGAAGGAACTGGGGGAAAACAGATAAGTTGTTCTTGAGGATTTTCCCCCCCCTTTTTTGCCAGCTTCAGTGAGATTAAGGCTTTTCCTTTTAAAAAGACGGGGATGGAACTGGAGGAAGGTTGGGAGCCCAGTAAAAACCGCAAGAGGCAGTGGGAAACACGGTGGGAGTTTGCGATTACCCCCGCTCCTCTAAATATTGCAGTTTTGGTGGGAAATAGCAGGAGGTAGGATTCCTCTCTTAGGAAAGCTCAGGTCTTTCAGATACCTTGCTGGTCCCCACACACCCCATTTAATCCATTTTCTTGCTGCAGAGAGAGATTCTGTTAAGTTCTAGCTGGAACTCCACGTCTCTTATTCTGTTGGTAGCTGCGTTGCTTAGGTTGGGTGTAGCCTAGGGATATTTAAAAACAGTGAGGAAAGTCCACAGGAGGCCCCCTTATGCTCCCATCGCCTGTTTCCTGGGAGAGGGGAAGTTATTTATTGAGACTAAAGCGGTCAAGCCCTCTGGGAAGAATTGAGTCCTACGGTTAAAGAAGGAATAGCAGTCACAAAAGGAAATAAATCCTTTTAATATGATTTTAAGATTATTATTATTGATCTATTAAAGTTATTGAATGGTATTAAGGGTCAAAAAACAGTGCCATCCTGTGATTGAAGCAGGTAGAGGAGCCATTAAAAAACTTTTCAATAGAGGAGAATAAATAAAGGTCAAAAGTGAAAATATGTCTATAATAATGTATAATAATATGAATTATTCTTAGTAAGAAGTAGAATATGTAGGAAGAAAAATGTAAATAAGAAATAATGGGGCTATAAGGACAAATATTCTAAAGAAGAATAAGGGGGAAATGTAAATATTAGATTACCGTTACGTAATTGCTGTAAAAAAAAGGAGTATATATTGTATGTGTATGTGTGTTATATTTTGCTTTGTTCTGTTTTGTTGGTTAAAAATAAAAATTAAAAAAAAACTTTTCAATGGCATTTTAAGGTTATTCTTTATTATTAAAACCTTATTAATATTAATAGGGCATCATAGTCTTCCTTAACTAGATTTAAGGCTTTTGAAGCAGATTTCTTCTTCCGCGCCTGCGTTGCAGCAAACGGGCCTCCCCTGGCCCTATTAATAAGGTGTTAATATTGTTAATAAAGATAGAGAATTTAAAATGCCATTAAAAAGGTTTATTTCTTTTGGTGGCCACAATACCCGTTTTTGACCAGAAGAGGGCACACTTTCCCGTCTCATAGCTTTAGCTTGGAGTCAATGGTAGGCTTTTTTTAATGGCCTCCATCCTATAGCCAAGGGACAGAAAACTCTGTCAAATCAGATACTGCAGCCACAAAAATAAATAAACCTCTTTAATGGCGTTTTAAGATGATGATTATTCTTTATTATTAAAACCTTATTAATATTAATAAGCCACGATAGGCTCATTCCCATCCCCTACTACACTTGACTTGCAATCACGGTCTACAGGCCATGTGGCAAAGTACCACAAGTGGTACACATACCAGTGGTTGAAAAGCCCTGCTCTATAATTATTAATATCAAGGCTTCTAATAATACAGATGCAAAAGAATAACCTCAAAATCCCGACTGTTCTGTTCCCTGAACCTGTCTTGCCCTCTCCGGCTGTAAAACGGGGCCCAGGGGCCATTTTACAAATGCAGAGGGGGCAACTAAGCCTGAGAAAGAATCCCTGAAATTTATGTTTCCAACATATGAACTGTATCTCTATGTTCCCAATTTGGCCTCTTGTTTTTCTCCCTCTGAAGTGGAAAGGGCACAAAGAGACCCAGCCTCCTAGTCTCTCGTACCGGCATCCAGCCGCCTGCTTAGGGACAGGAAGTCGGCCATGCCGAGAAGGTCGTTCTGAATGGAAGTGGAAGGACGGCCACAGAAACGGACAGGAAGTTGGCCATCCCGGGGAGGTCGGTGTGTAAGACAGTGGAGGACTACTGCGCATGTGTGACTGGAAGTTGGCAGGTAAGGTTGATTTCCTTGTGTGGCTGCTATTCCTGCCTAAGGCTGCGTTCTGATGACTTTGCCCCTAAAATAACAACATAGTCTTTCATATCTTGGGAAAGCCTGACTTTTTTGCCCTCTTTTGGGCAAGGAAAGAGTAGGGCCTCAGGTTTTTAAGAAGAGACTTGACAACCATTTGTCTGAAGTGGTACTATAGGCTTTCCTGCTGGACTACAAGACCTTCCAACTCTATTGTTGTTATTGTTGATCTCCCAAAGCAATTGCTCACTGTATTTTCTTCTACTGTTTAGAAGGAAAAACATAACAGAAAGGAGAAACTATTCTCCTTTTAGCCGTTGTTTTGTGGTTAATTCAGGGTTCGGGGGAACTTTGACCGGCTCCTCTGGTTCAAGCCTGTGCTCCAGCTCAAAATATGGAGTTGTGTTGTTTTGAGAAGGCTGTGCCAATAGCAACTGGGATGTCTTGTGGCAGGATTTGATTCTCTTCACCCCAAGACCAGCTGGTAAAAGCAGGAAATTAAACCGATCAAGAATTCTGGTGATTTGTTATGATTCCTAAAACTCAGTGCTTTTTTCTTAGGCCCTAGGAGTAGGTAACCCAAAACACTCGAAGAGCCACTTGGACCCATTTACAACCGAAAACATCTTTTATGACTCATGGACTTCTACTCCCAGAATTCCTGAGTCAGCATAGCTGGGCTCGCTAGCTCTCTCCTGCCCTTCCTGCTTCCTGCAGAGACGCAGCAAAAGGAGGAGTGCCATCCAGTAAGCTTTTTAGCTCGTCGGAGAACACTGTGAGTCCACTCTCTTTTTTACACACACACACACACACACAGAGAGAGAGAGAGAGAGAGAGAGAGAGAGAGAGAGAGAGAGAGGAGGGGGGAAGCACAAGTGCCTCTCTCTCTGTCTGCAGAGGAGGCTGGGAGCCGCAGGGGAAGGCTCAAAGAGCCATATGCGGCTCCAGAGCCGCAGGTTGCTGACTCCTAGGGGCACTCAGAGTACACCTTTGATAAAGGAATATACATAATAAGCAAACACGTATAAAACTGAGTTTAGTCAAAGCAGCAAAGTCTGCCCTCTTGTGGCCAGTGTGTGCTGTAACGTTTAGCAAAGAAGCCCTGAAGTGGCTTATTTTTATTCTTTCATTTCCTTCCTTTGATGGAAGCTCAAAGCAGCCACAGAAGAGGCTGCTGGGAATACAAAAGATAATTGCAGAAGCTAAAATTTCATTTCTAATAGGGCACTGAGGAGGGCAAAACAGGGAATGCTGCCCTCCTGTAGCCAGGTAAGTCCATGGCATTTTTTCCCCAAGGTACAGCAGAAAAGGTTACTGGATAGATTAAATATAGATTGGGTGTCAAACTCAATTTCACTGAGGGCCGCATCAGCATTGCAGTTGCTTGGGGGGGGGGCTGGGTGGGTGTGCATGGAGTGGGTGTGGCCTACTGGGTGGGCGTGACCAATTCTACACCAGTCGCGTCAAGGGTGCCTGTGGGGGTCTGGGCAGGAATGGGACAGATCTGAGGGTCTCTGGCAGAAGGGGGTGGGACGGGGGCAAGTGCCAAGGCATGGTCCACTGGGGCAAGTACCAAGATGGCCACCACAAAATTGTACATTGGCTCCCAGCCGGCTGGGGCCAAGACAGCGGGCTCCCTCACTGTTTCCAGGATGGCTTCGTGGGCCACATGAAACCACTTTGCGGGCCGCATCCGGCCCCCGGGCATTGTGTTTGACATGTCTGATATAGATGATTAATAGGGGAGATAGATAATAGATGAGAGAGGGAGAGAGAGAAATCTAAAACATTTGTTATATAAAGCACAAAAAACTTCATTGGAAGTTTATTTTGGTAGAACCCCCAAATCCTTACAAAAGATGATCCTCGGTGATTTCGGCACAGGGCAGGAGCACAAGGTGCCTAACAGGTCCAAGCTCCTGACCGCAGGATCCCAAATATATTCATATTCATATTAGTAAAGTTGGAAGGGACCTTGGAGGTCATCTAGTCCAACCCCCTGCTCGGGCAGGAAACCCTACACCCTTTTGGACAAGTGGCTGTCCAGTCTCTTCTTAAAAACTTCCAGTGTTGGAGCATTTACTGCTTCTGGAGGCAAGCTGTTCCACTGATTAATTGTTCTCACTGTCATGAAGTTTCTCCTTAGTTCTAGGTTGCTTCTCTCCTTGATGAGTTTCCACCCGTTGCTTCTTGTCCTGCCTTCAGGTGCTTTGGAAAATAGCTTAATTCCCTCTTCTTTATGGCAGCCCCCGAGATATTGGAATACTGCTATCATGTCCCCCCTTGTCCTTCTCTTCATTAAACTAGACATACCCAATTCTAGCAACCGTTCCTTATATGTTTTAGCCTCCAGTCACCTAATCATCTTTGTTGCTCTTCTCTGTACTCTTTCTAGAGTCTCAACATCTTTTTTACATCGTGGTGACCAAAACTGGATGCAGTATTCCAATTGTGGCCTTACCAAGGCATTGAAGAGTGGTATTAATACTTCACGTGATCTTGATTCTATCCCTCTGTTAATGCAGCCTAGCACTGTGTTGGCCTTTTTGGCAGCTGCAGCACACTGCTGGCTCATATTTAGGTGACTGTCTACTAGGACTCCGAGGTCCCTCTCACAGTTACTACTATTGAGCATGGTGCCACCTATGCTGTACTTGTGCCTTTGGTTTTTCTTGCCTAAATGTAGAACCTTGCTTTTTTCACCATTGAATTTCATTTTGTTAGTTAGTGCCCAGTGTTCAAGTCTGTCCAGATCCTTCTGTATCTTAAGCCTGTCTTCTTGAGTGTTGGCTATTCCTGCCAGCTTGGTGTCGTCTGCAAATTTGATGAGTTCCCCATCTATCCCTTCATCCAAATCGTTGATGAAGATGTTGAAGAGTACTGGGCCCAGAACAGAGCCCTGGGGCACCCCACTACACACTTCCCTCCATAGAGATGCAGTTCCATTGAGGACCACTCGCTGAGTACGGCCGGTCAGCCAGCTACGGATCCATCTGGTGGTGTTTCTGTCTACCCCACATTTTTCTATCTTGTCAAGTAGTAGGTTGTGATCTACTTTATCAAATGCCTTACTGAAGTCAAGTAAATTATGTCCACAGCATTCCTCTGATCCACTAATTTTGTCACTTGGTCAAAGAATGCAATAAGATTTGTCTGGCATGATCTATTTTTGACAAACCCATGTTGGCTTTTAGTAATGACTTTGTTTGCCTCTAGGTGTTCGTTGATTCGTTGTTTGATTATCTTTTCCATGATCTTCCCAGGTATTGAGGTCAGGCTGATAGGTCTGTAATTTCCTGGATCCATTTTTTTTCCTTTTTTGAGGATGGGAATTACATCAGCTCTTTTCCAGTCCTCTGGTAGTTCCCCTGTGTTCCAGGATCTTTGAAAAATATAGTTCAGTGGCTCCGATATCACATCTGCCAGTTCCTTGAGAACTCTGGGATGTAATCCATCTGGTCCTGGCGATTTGAACTCATCTAGGCTGGACAGGTGCTCACTAACCATTTTCTTGCCTATCTTAATTTGTGTTTCTGTTTTGTTTTTTAATGGCACTATTTTTGATAGGTTGGTCTGTTTTTTCCCTTTGTGTAAAGACAGATGCAAAAAATGAGTTAAATAATTCTGCTTTCTCCCTGTTGCTTGTCACCTTCTTGCCACTTCCACCCACTAATGGACCAATCATTTTCTTCACTTTTTTCTTGTTTTTTACATGTTGAAAGAAGCTTTTTTTGTTATTTTTGACTTTGGTCGCAAGCCTTAGTTCATTTTGAGCCTTGGCTTTCTTCACTTCATCTTTGCAGGCTCGGGCTATTTGCTGATATTCTAACTTAGTTATGTTCCCCTCTTTCCACTTTCTATACTTGTCCTTTTTATCTTTCAATTTGTCAGAGAGTTCTTTATGCAGCCATGCTGGTTTCTTTTGGGAGCTGTTGTTTTCCTCTGTGTTGGTATTGTGCTAGACCACAGGTCGGCAACCTGCGGCTCCGGAGCCGCATGCGGCTCTTTGAGCCTTCCCCCGTGGCTCCCAGCCTCCTCTGCCTTTGCAGAGAGAGACAGAGACAGAGAGAGGCAATTGTGCTTCCCTGCTTCTCTCTCTCTCTCTCTGTGTGTGTGTGTGTGTGTGTGTGTGTGTTTTTGTGTGTGTGTGTGTGTGTGTGTGTGTCTGTGTGTATGTGTAAAAGAGAGTGCACTCACAGTATTCTCCGAGGAGCTGAAAAGCTTACTGGGCGGAGCTCCTCCCTTTGCTGCGTCTCTGCAGGAAGCAGGAAACAGGAAGGGCAGGAGAGAGCTAGCTAGCCCAGCTAGGCTGACTCAGGAATTCTGGGAGTTGAAGTCCATGAGTCATAAAAGAGAGAGGTTGCTTATTGGACAACAGCTTGAAGCTTGCCAGGTGAGCAGCAGATAGGGGGGGGGGGAGAAAGAGAGAGAGAGAAAGAGAGAGGGAGGGAGAGAGAGAGGAAAGAGAGAGAGAGAGAGAAAGAAAGAGAGCGGGGGAAGAGGAGTGGCAGACCAAGGGCAGATAGAGAGGGAGGGACAGAGAGACAGAGAGAGAGAGAGACCCTTTTGACATCTAAAATGAAGATAACACTGCATATATCCTTTTTTTACGTGTGTGTGTGTGTGTGTATACACATACATATATACATATACATATACATATATACACACACACACATACATACACACACACACCTATAATAAAGATAAAAAAGGATATATGCAGTGTTATCTTCATTTTAAATATCAAAAGGGTTTTGCGGCTCCCAGTGTTTTGTTTTTGGTGGGAAACGGGTCCAAGTGGCTCTTTAAGTGTTTTGGGTTGCCTACCCCTGTGCTAGACTGTGCTTTTATTATCTCATTTTTCAAAATTTCCCAAGCTTCGTGAGTTGTTTTCCCCTTGAGGATTCTCATCCATGGAATCCTTCCCAAGCCCTAAGTTTATTGAAATTAGCTCTCTTGAAGTCCAAGACTCTAGTTTGACTGTGTTCTATTGCTTGTGCTTCTATAATGTTGACTTCTAATATAATGTTGAATTCTAATATTGCATGATCACTTCCTCCCAGGGTTCCTATGGCTTCAACACCGTCTATCATTTCATCTCTGTTAGTGAGAATTATATCCAAGATGGCTAATCCCCTAGTTCCCTTCTCTACTTTTTGGGAGACAAAGTTGTCTGCTAGGTTTGCCAGGAACCTGTTTGATCTTCCACTTGGTGCGGAGTTTGTCTCCCAGTTGATGTCAGGGTAGTTAAAGTCCCCCATTACTATTTTGATGTGCTTCCTACATACCTTAGTTAGCTGACTAGCAAAAAGTTCATCTATTTCCTCTGTTTGGTTGGGTGATCTGTAGTATACACCTATGGCAATGTCATTTCCCCTCCCTTTTATATTGACCCAAATGCATTCAAGACAGTTTTTATCATTGTTGTGCTCTATTTCTGTGGAGATGTAATTATTTCTTATATAGAGAGCAACTCCACCTCCTCTTTTATTTGGTCTGTTTTTTTTAAATAATTTAAATCCTTCTAGCTGTGTGTTCCATGTGTGGGTTTCATCCCACCATGTTTCCGTAATGGCAACAATATCGTATCTGCCCTCATTAACCTGAATTTCTAGTTCACCCTTTTTGCTGTTCATACTCTGTGCATTGGTGTATAAACATTTGAGTCCTTTGTGGGTGGCCCTGTGTTTCCTTTCT